TGTGTGTGTTTGTTGTTTGTATATGTTTGTCGTGTTTGTATATATATATATATATGGGTGTGTGTGTATGTGTGTGTCTGTGTTTGTGTGTCTGTGTCTGTGTGTTTGTGTGTATGTGTCTGTGTTTATGTATGTATGTGTACGTGTGCCATTCAAACGTCTTTGACCATCGTTGTTTATGACATTTGTTTTCACAAATATTTACACGAGAAGCTACGTAACTGCTCTCATTGTGAGCAGACATCAACTGTCTCATAATCATCCTTGCTCGAATATAGTATGCAAATATGCATATTTATAAGCATCTATATAGACACGCATATACACGTAGACAAACATACACTTGAACATAAAGATATAGGATTACTTTGCAATTTTTCCTCGTATTGGCTTGTACGATATGTGTACGAACAACATGTCTATTATTTTAATATGTATATTATATAGTTGTATATATACAACACGTCGTGTGAATACTTTCACAATTTTTTTTGGAAGCTTGCAGGTGACGATTATAAAACAAAAATTTATATGGCTTAGTACACCTCCGCTTCCCCTCTTCTATTTTCTTCTTATTCTGACATATACCAGACCGATAGATAGTCCACGTAGCATACAGTTGAAAAAAAATGTTGATTCAATGTACATACCTCCATAGGTACATCTCCACGGTAGTTTCGTGCGATGAGCACTTTCCCCTTGAAATCAAGAATGTATATAGCAGATAGCATATTGAATATACAAGTATTCACTACACTAAGCTTATCTTAGAGTACGCACTCGAGATATATAGGTAAATACACTCTAGTAGAGAGTTAAGGGAGAGAGGGAGGTGAGCACTCTATATCAACCACAAAATCAGAATCTTTGTTTATAGTTTCTTTCGAATTCTTTTTTTGGGATACATAAATAATTTAAAAATTATCTTTTACTATGTTGGTATATTCAAACTGATAGTGGACAAATAACCCAAATATGAAGGTTGGGAGGACGGGGCTCAAAACGTTACAACAAATTTTTATACGTTACACGTCACAAACGAGATGTTGAGGAAGTGGACCGAAGTGTTGTTTTTTTTTTGTATTATATTTTCATGACCCTCTCTAGACTCTAGAGAAAGAGAAGAAAGAAAATATGGCTGAACGGACTAAAATAATTAACGTCTGTAGGAATATTTTATGTATTATTTTTTTATCTATTTGTTTTTTTTAAATAAAAAAATAGGAACGTAACGACCAATGGAGCCCTGGACTATGCTCATTTTATTTTTCACGACGGACCTTTGACTCAAATTTCCGTCTCCGAAACGTAAATCTCGGTGACCCGCAAGTCACCAGTGTAAAACTGAATGCCAAATTCAAAAAACCCACAGACCCCACTAAAAAGTCACATAGTTTCATACCGGACCTGGAGTTTGTACTATTTTTTTCCAAAACAAAAACAATTCCCAGTGGGGAGTTTGGGGTCCCACAGTCCCACGACCCGCAGACCACAGTCCCACAGCCTCCGAAAAATGTCGGGCCAGGCTGAATCCCCAACTAAAGCGCTCGTCCCCAACGACTCCTTGCACAATGACCAATGGAAATTGGATTTACAAAAATCTATCACAGACCTCTGTGCCCAGGTCAATACACTACAGGCTAATCTCAACCAAATGTCGGGACCGGCCCTGCCAACCCTGGACAATAATGGGCCCATCTCCAAAGAGCCTCTGGCTGACGACCAATGGAAATTAACCATGAACCAAATACTCACTGAACTCTGTGCCAAAGTGAACAACCTCGAATCCGAACTCCGAGACCTTAAATCCCAAACCTGTGCACCTCTAAATGAAGGCACACCCAACACCTTCCGGTTTGGCTCCACAAGCCAGCCAGCCCCGCCAGCAAAAAGACCGAGGCCACAGGCGCCCTTTAGTAGCAGCTCAAAAGTGGGCAACCCCACAAAACCGACTCCCCAAAAAACCCCGATCCCATCGACCTCTCAGCCCCTACTGCAGCCGCCAGTACCCGCACACCTTCTGACGAAAGTGATGGGCCGCCCGAAGCCGGACAAAACTCTCCATGAAATGGATGACATCACTCCTGTATGGCTCATCTTTTGGGCAATTTTTCCCAACGGCAAGACCCCATCCCAGTCAGTATTTGAAAAATACTGGCACGCCCAACCGCTCCTCAATCATCACCACTTTCTTTGGTATCTCCCGTCCAAACCGGTTTCTGAACTAAATCGCCGACCTCCTCCAGTTTCGTCCGCCTTTGTGTTCCCAATGACGCTGTCGCCCAGGTGAAACGACATGCAGAACTAACGTGGAAGTGGCAATTTGATAAAACCATAGACCCCCGCTCCCAACAACATCCTGACGCTACGAAAGCAGCCTTAATCCACTATCTCCTTACCAAGCGGGAGGCCCGCTGCACACATGAACGAGCACCAAAAATTCTTGCCCGTAGCATGGATACTTTACTGGACCCCCTTGTTAATTCTACCAACGCAGGCATTCTCCAATGTATAACGGACCGGCTCCAGAAGGCATATCAAGCAAAACATACTACAAACCGCTTGTCACCTAACCCACGAATCCCGACAGGCGCTAACACACAGCCAGAACGTGTGCAGCCCGGACGACCCCACGTACCAACGGCCTTCCCCGCACAGCCCCAACCTTCCACCACAGACTCTTCGACGACAAAAAACGATATAGAAATGGCTGACATCAACAAGGACCAGGGCCTAGTAGTATTGACCGAGGATGAACAATGTTAGGATCAATGAGGATGACGCTCTTCAACCCACAAGAACTCATTATGGACAATGCAGCACATACAGATAAGTACTTGAACGTTGTATCGATTTTGAGTAAGGTCGATGTTATGAGTGTGGTTGAAGCCTGGCATAACACCACATTCCTTAATCGTATAGGCTCGAACACACACTATCATATTCTACATCACACAACACGGCACAACATCTTACACCCTTCACACTGTGATATTGGCATCTTTTCCAAAAACTACCCATCTCAATTCAAACTGGTTCACTCCTCACCATACACGGTGTTCTTTGTATGCTTTGTCGTCCGTATGACCGTGTTCTACCTCCCACTCAAATCGCTCACCCAAGAAGAAGTCAAGAAATACATGAATCCTCCCGATATTGGCAATTTCCAACCAAACGTCGTTTGGGGCGACTTTAACTTTAAAGCCCGTAAGTATGGCCACGCATCCACAGTTCACGGACTACGTATGAACACAATCGAAACTGCCCTACATAATACGTGGCACTTGGATTATCTCTATGCTGGCGGCTCAACTGGTACAGAACATGCGTATCACCGGCCCACGACTTCTGCCTTCCTCCAGACCTATAAGCTGACGGACTACAGCATCTATGGTGACCACACCTTTGGGCTTGATCTCCAGGTACTTCCAACGGAATACATACATCGGCTCCAACAAATGCCAACAATGCCGCCGCCTCCGGACCAACGCCTTCCCTCTCATGGATATAACCAATATCGCCATCGACTGTATCGCTTACGCAATATATCCCGCGCACGACTACTCCAAGCCAAAATCCGGTGCATCAGAACCTACTACGGTCGTATCTCACCTTGCATGGTTTAGCGGAAGGCTTGCAACGGATTCTCGACCGCATCTGAATCTATGCCGCTAACCCACAAATCTTTGGGGGATTCTACTACGACATAAATAGACCTTGGATACAACGGCTGCCAAGCCACTCGTTCCGCCCACGTCTGTAATAAGCCGGGCCTACACATTAGACTCTATGTATAAACGTACTCTTAAGCAGCACGCAAATTATAAACGTACTCTTAATAGTACGAGGAACTTAAGTCTCTTAAATGTGCTCTTAATAGCACGAGGAACCTAAGTTTCCTAAAATGGTTTTTAATGGTTTTATTAATTAAACTTTTTCCATTTAACATATCAGATATTTGGATGAGGCCATCAAAAGGCCTCAGTAAAATACCAAACATAAAAGAGTTGATCTAGTTCTATTAATAGAGCTTTATTTACTTTCCAATTTTATTTATATCTGAATACTTCGGTAGCGAGATGGCTCAACCGAATATAGGTTTCTAGGGACTATTAACGTTACCTAGTAGATCCTCTGATAAGCCAACCAGATGTGCCAGTCTGATGAAGGCTAAGTCGGTAATTCTTGATAGTGGCAAGTTATTAGCTAAGACAATAACTAAAGACGTCAAGAGCATTTTTTTTTTCTAAAGATAGGATTTTATGAGTCTATCGGATTCGCCCCAGAATAGAGCGACAACGAAACACTAAATAAAATCCCTTCGGCGGAAACAGTACTGAGAGGATTATATATAGGCAAGGTCTCAGCCTCACAATCCCTCAGAGTATTGCTGTTTTCACGAGGCAAACCTAACTTTATTAAACATCTCATTTCGTTTATTTATATCGATATTTACACAATATATAGAATTTACCTACGTGTTTATTTATTCTAAGGCATTAGTATCACCTTTATTAGACCGAATCTTACACGTCTGACCGCCCAAAGCAATACCCAAACATTCCAAGATATTGCGTACCAACGACGATCTCCACCCCAACCCTGTATACCGGGTGCCGACGACACAGGCGCCACTCTCATTGGCTACTTTGAGGACCTATCTAACTCCACGAATCTGTACGTTGTTCCACCGGATACCGAACCCTCGCCAGATGTACCGTACGCCCCAACGATGTAACGGAGGCTATACTACGCTATCCTAATAAGGGGCCTGGCCCTGACGGAATCCACATCCTCCTTGTGAAGGCCGCAGTGGAGCGTTCCACCGAACACAAGACACTAGAACGCCCGGACGCCAATAACCCACTGATTAGACTCCTTGCCGAAGCATTCACTGAGCTACTAAAGGCGGGTACGACAGCGCACACAAAAAAGGCCGATGCAGATATCACCTCCCCCGCCGACTTCCGCCCTATCACGCTAACGCAAATAGTCAGACGCATATTTACGAAGTGTTTCCTCAATGCCCGAAAACTGGATCAACTGCCTCCGCGCGCTATTTGAGAGGGTCCCTACCCGAGTGACATACCGCGGCATGCTCTCGCATTTATTTCATAGAACAAATGGCATCCTACAAGGCTCAATCGTTGGCCCCCAGCCCTTTATTATCTACATGGATTCTTTGGCTGTCACCCTAGCACAATTCCGGCCCACGCTCCTCCGCTTTTATTTATTTGTCGACGACACACTGATTCAAGCCCCCCAACCGGTTCCGCTCCAGCCCTTTTTAGACGACATTGATGCTTGGGGACGAAAATCTGGCCTCAAACATGGTGTCATCAAACCCCGAGTACGTTCTACCAACTTGCGACACGCGGCGCCAACCCTCCGTATAAATGGTGATCTTATCACGCCGACGCTTGCAGATGCCCCTTGGAACACATGTCACCTACCCCTGAAGATGGCTCCCACACATGTCAAGCCTAAACTCTCCAAATACCTAGATTTCCCACTCTCCCACGGAATACCAGGGATAAATCTCGCCAGACATATGGAATTCCTGGTTACAGCATTATCTCTGTGTATCGCCTCCTTCCGCGCTTATGGTTTCCATGGCGTCGGCTGGCGACACCCCCGCAACAGGCTGGTGTTGTTCAAAACATTCATCTTATCCACGGCTACATATGGCCTGAACATTATTGCCTGGGCTGCACCTATATAGAAGGATGCGCTGGACCCCTTGTTTGAGTGCTATAACTCAGTACTCATTCGAGCAGCAGCCATCATCACGGGCACCAAATACCCTAGGTTTCCCAAACATCAAACCGACTTACTCCGTTTTTGTGGCCTGCTCCCCACGCGAGCATTCGCGGACTACCTCGGAGATTGCCTGGGACTGCAACTCGACTCAATGGCCAGCACAAACCCACTCACCCCTCTGACGCAGCCCGCCTGGACCCACGACAAACCCTCACTGCGCTTCCCGTACAGTATATATGTCCACTTGAAGACTTTATACAAAACCACGGACGGGCGTACACCAGACCATGTAGCCCTCCGCCGACGATATGACGACATTAGAAAGAATTCAACGAAACGCGGGTCCAACAAGGAGCTCGCGGCAATGGCCCGGCGTCAATACTACTACCAATTGGTCATGGGCAAACCGCCAACCTCGGATCGGGACAAAGCCAGACACGACAGCTTCAACCGCTGCTTCGAGCCTATACCAATCCGGCTCTGTGCTATGATAGTAACAAATACGTACATGTTCACATTGCTCGACTACCGCACTGACGGCTGTCTTTGTCCTATCTGCCCCGGTGGCCAAAAAATCACCACCAGCCACTTTGCCTGCATCCAGCAACTGATCCAATGCATCCTGGTAGGCCCAAAACTGCCTCTCATTGGCCCTGATCTCCTCCAGCAACTACAGGAGCGCCACGACTCCCATGGTATCTGGACCCTCCACGAACACCTTGGATCTTTTCTCCAGCATGTAGAACAACCCCTGCACCCACACCCGTCTCTGACATATCAACAGATGTTTCCTATACCCCGGCTAATCACGCTGTTGAAGTACTACTTCCAAATTTCGGTCCAAACCAATTCATCGCGCCTGTTGGTTCCGCCTATGATACTTCCAATACAAGCAAACCAGCACATACTGAATGCATCCGTGGTCTGGTGCGGCACCGGTTCACCCCCAACCTCGCTCCTCAACCGAATTATGACGGATAACCTGGTCCTACTTGGCATTTCGTACTCTGCACTAACCCATTCCACGGCACTACACGATAAAGACCCGATCCGAACCACATAGGTGGGTACGCTATTTAGTAGGTCAGAAAGCGAATACGTGGCACACTCGATGGTGTCAGTTTTTTGTCAGCACCGGCCTGAATTGTCCCAGCGCATATCCTCCATTGTCGACTCACTTGGTCCAAGCTTCAACAGGGAATTTACTGACCACTTCTTCCCATCGATCTTCCCCGAACCACTACAACGGCTATGAGAGTCATACCATATGTACAAACATTGTAACTTAACTCCTTTGAAATAAATAATATTATCCCTATGCTCACAGTCGCCCGAACCCTTACACAGCGCAAAGGCAGACGCAGAACTGGGCACATCGACCCCAAGAAACGACACCAACTATATGTGTCGGCTGTCAATCACAAGCACCGCCGGGCACACGACAAAACCCACGTTGTCATCCCTTTCGAGCAACACAACCAGGAGGTAGCGACAGCCGCGCACACCAGTACGAACAGAACCATCCCCAGAGGGATAAACAACCCACACAACGACCTGCAACAGTCCTGACCTCAGGACAAGAACAAATCAACAATCGACCCCCCTCCCAACTACAGGTGAACACGATAACACAGGAGGAGGACTTCACACTTCTACCAGAAGCTGCCGAGATTCACATCGACGCGATACTCACAGATGGATATAGCAACGAGGCACCGGCACCAACTAACAACCACGGTGAATGTGAGTCAGTCGCCGAGCGTGAATGAGAATTGAGAGTGTTTAAGACTTATATGAGCTTGACGTTTGTATATACTATCAATGCAGTCATGGCGATGAATGATCTATACAAGTCAATGGGCGCACGTTCAGAGCCTTGATAGACACGGGAGCGAACAGAAGTTCTATCTCACAGGCATCCGCAGTGTGACCTTCTCGGCCATCAAATCACTCCAGTACCGCTGATTCATTCATTTATGTAGCTGACAAGGCGTCATGAACTCCTC